CCATCAAGCAGTTGCCCTCTTTCGGTCGCCCATGCATTCCCGTTAGCCGCTAAAACAAAAAAAACTATAGATCGCACACACGCACACCTCGTGGCCTGCCAGAAAAGAAACGACGGCTACACCCCAGACGCCTTCTCCAGCGTCCGGGAGAGCCATTGGGGGGTCGAGAACGTCCTTCAACGAGCTGACATCAGAGAAGCGAGTTGTATTTTCGCGCCCCTTGACGTCGAACACTGACGCAGTGGCAGTTCGCAGTAACTCCCTCGCCTCCTGAGCAATGGTGGGGGATTGCCGCAGTGGTTGAAACCAGCTTGTGTAGCTCAGAAACTTGGGCAATGGTCCCCACCAGAATGAAATCGGCCCGGAAAAATGAATGATACCCGGAGACCCAAAAGGCCCTTTACGCGGTGCGAGAAAGAACGAGTTGTTGGAGTCAAGGCTCGGAAGGCCGTAGCGTATGCGAAGGGCGGGATCCACAACAGGGTCCTGAGACACGCTCCACACAAACAGCAGCGCGAGACGGTCTGGTCACACACCCACTCATTACTCTTCGCCAAAAGGCTCGCGTAGGCCTTGGACGCCTCTCGAATCGCCCACACACGCCCCACCATTCCGCCAGCAGCGAGGTGCCGATGCCCCGAAAGCGGCGATTGCAGCACGCGCTGGTCTGCAGAAAAGCTCGCGGCCGCCATACAAGTTCGTAAAACCAACGGCACCGCACATAATGTTCTGAGGGTGCCAAAGGGGCCGCAAGGTCAATATGCGGCGCCCAACATGCAGGGCCACCCTCAAACAGCAGGGGGGCAGTCGCCGCACCTCGATGCACCGCCGTGGCGTTGAAGGCGTCTGCACTGGGCGCCGTTTTTGCATGAAGCCCTCCACTGCCCGCTTTGCCCAAAGGGGCGTGGGGCAAAAAGGTGCCAGCGCCGTCAAACATCACCACGACGTCATCGCCCCGCAGGCCCGCGTCCTCCATGTAGTTCAGCAGCCACTCTGGGCGGACCGTGTGGTTGCGTTTCGCCCCAAAGCCAATCGATACAACCGACACGCGGGAGAGAATGGGGCTCAGCATCATCCCGCACCGGCCGGGGGAGCAGCCTGTCTGAGAGACAACAAAGTCATCCCTTGGGGCCGCCGTTGGGCTGCACGCCCCCCGCACCGCCCCGCATCGTGCTGGAAAGCATCTGCTGCACAGGTGTGCCGGTTCGCTGGAACAAGTTCCAACAACACCAGCGACACAGCAACAAAGGCGCAGAGCAGCGGCACCTCACCTGTAGTGCTTGCGCAATACATGGGGCAGTGCGGCAAGGGGTGCCGCAGAAGCGCATTGCGACCATGTGGAGTGGCGCGGGAGGGGGGCGGCTAGGTCGCCTACAATAGAGTCGAGCGCAGCAGGGGAGAGGGAGGGAGAGAGATCACAGCAATTGGGGGAGTGGCGGCAGCAGCAGCAGCAGCAGCATTGCAGCGGTCACGTCCGCTCCCGCACAGAGACAACAGCGTGGAGGGGCAAGACGGCACAAGCCAGTCGCAGCGGCAGCGCAAGAAAGGCCCACGCACCGCCTCTCTTCTCCCCCTTTTCCCATCGGTACAAACGGCAGTGACTGCTGCCGCGCTTTCACGCGCGCGTCTAAACGTTGGTGGGGGAGCGGGGCCGCGTTGCCCTCTTCCCCGCCGCCCCGCGGTCAGTAGGACAGCCGCGACACCCTGATGGCGTGGGCGAGCCGTTCCTCGTCGCTCATCTCCCCGACGGGCCTGGGGAGGGGCACCAGGTCCTGCCGCAGCTGGGCCAGCAGCCGCGCGTAGAAGTCGCCCGCCCCGGACTCGCCGCCGGGCCGCGGGCGGAGCCCCTCCAGCGGCCTCAGCCCCAGGCCCCGGCAGAACTCATTGCACTCGTGCCGCGCGACGTACTTTTCGATGCCCGCGGGCCCCATGTTGCCCAGCCCCAGCCCCCT